ATATACACAATGCATATTTTCTACGATATGATATATACTTTGATATAATAAAACAGTGCAGTGTTGTGTGGAAAGTTTGTGATTTGTGTGATTTGAGAAAAACCAAATATCTTTTAGGGATTTGGAGAATTTGTAATATGTACCAGCTACTAAATGATATTAATGATTTATTATCCATTTATTTAAATATAGTTATGATAAAATTTACTTAAAATTAATATCCATTTTCAGTGGAAAATAGGTACAAAGAAACATTGAAAATATAACAAGATTTTTCTTAACAAATTTCCAACCAAACAAGCTATAGTGACAGAAAAGCAAGTTTGTAGAAAGCAGAGATGAAAGAGGAAAATGACACATGGACCTTAATACTTTTCATACCATTCATATATACAGATTTCATAAATTCTCAAATAAAAAAATCAAAGAAAATGAGAACCAAAATAACTCATCAGCTTGGCAGACCAACATATAAAGACAAAGATCAATGTGTTGATAAATTTTAAAAATATGAAATGTAAAGCCTGAGATTTAGCTTGGTAGTACTGCACCTGCCTAGCCAGAACAATGTGCTGAATTTAATCCCCAGCACCAGGTGAAGAAAAACAAGAAAGAAAAAATTGAAGAAAAGAAAAAAGAAGCATATGTACTTTCTAACATATTCAACAGATTAAAAATAGATTATTTGTTATCTCTTTCTCTTGAATTGTTCCCTTCACAAGAATATAGTGCCCTTCTTTGTCTCTTTCCATCAGTTTAGGTTTGAAACTTACTGTATCTTGAATAAGATTGCTACCCCTGCTTTTTTCTGGGCTCTTGTTACATGAAGTTTTCTGTCCTTTCACTTTCAGTGTATGGGCTTCTTTTTGTACTAGAAGTGTCTGGTATACAACATATTATTGGATTTTGCTTCTTAATCTATTCTGCCGGTCTATTTCTCTTGATTGGTGAATTGAGGCCGTTGATATTGATGGATATAACTGATATGTACTAACTTATTATTGTCATGTTTTTATTCCCCTTATCCTTTTAGTTTCTTACCTTACCTATTTGATTTGCTCTGTTGGGCCTCCTTGTGTTGTTACCTTCATTGTATTTTTCTAGGATATTGTTTACAATTTGTTTTATTGCTGGTTTGGTATTCATGAAGTTTCTCAGGTGTTCTTCATCATGGAAGTATCTTATTTCCCCATCTATTTTGAAAGAAAGTTTTGGAAGATACATCAGCCTAGGTTGGAGGTTGCTTTCATTTAGTATTTGAAATGTCCCATTCCAGGGTCTCCTTAAGCTAAAGGTTTGTGTTGAAAAGTCTGCTGTGATTCTGATGGGCTTTCTTCTGCATGTAAATTGTTTCTTATCTCTTACTGCTTGTAGTATTTTGTTCTTCTGTTGGGTTTCTGGGATCTTGATTGTTATCTGTCTAGGTGTAATTTTTTTTTTTGATCATGGCTAGTTGGAGTCCTATATGCCTCACTTATCTGTATGTCAAATTCTTCCCCTCTATTTGGGAGGTTTTCTATAATTAATTCTGTGACCAGCTTTTTAAAGTGATTTGCATTTTCTCCTGCTACTTCTTGAATTCCTGTCAGTCTTATGTTATTCCTCTTTGTATTGTCTAAGCGTACTTGTGTGAATTTCTCATGATCCCCTGTTCTTAAGAGACCTCTCTTTTCACAGTCACTGACTGTAATTTTATCTTCTAGATCTGAGATTCTATCTTCAGACTCTTTTGTTCTTTTGTGAACACTCTTAATGGAGTTTTTAATCTCCTGGATATCTGTTCGAATCTGTCCTATGGATTCCATTTCTTTCTTCTATTGGGCATTTATTGTTTCCAATTCTTTCTTATGCTGGGCATTCATGGCTTCTATGATGGTCCTGAGCTCATCAATTTTCCTCTCCGTTTCTGTTCTAGAATTTTGAATTATAATTTTCATTTTTCTCATCATTTCTATGATTATCTGGGAAATTACTTCTGTTTTAAATATCTCTAGAGCCTGATTGATCAGTTTTGGTACTTCCTGTGCTTTGCGTTCAGGGCATCCTGATGATTCACTGTCAGACTTTGCATCTTCATTTGCCCCACTGTTTGCCACTGGTGAACTGGAAGTCTGTCCCTGTATCTTGCTTAAGTATTTTGTCATTTTTACTCTTGTTGTTGGGTTGTCCTTAATTTAACCTTTAGATTATTACTTAAAGCTTCCTGATACAGTTGGGCTTCAGCCCATGGGTCTCTCATGACTCATAGACATTCTCATTTTTGTAATACCGAAGAAAACAGCTCATTGAATCAATCACAATCCTTTATCCTAATTGAAACAATCAGCACAATATGATGAAGCACAATTTGCAAATTGACCACTTGTGGTAGTCATCAGTAGGGCCTGGTTTGGAGATGCCCAGGCACTGAGATTGCAATTTGGTTGGTTTGGTTTGTTTTTTCTTTTTGGTACTGGGGATTGAACTTGGGTTTGTGCCTGCAAGGCAGGCCACCAAACTGCTGAGCTAAATTCCCAGCCCAGGTTTGGTTTGTTTTTTGAGAGGGGTTCTCTCCAGGTAATTCAGGCTGGTTTTGAACTCACAGTTATCCTGCTGTGTCAGCCTCCTTTGAGATGCATTACAGGTTTGAACAACCATGCCTGGCTAGAATGCTGCATTTTTGTCACCAGTCTCTCCCTCCCCTGTCTTCTTCCTGGCAGCCAAGGCATGAGCAGCTTCCTTTAACATGCTCTTCTGTTATGCCTCCTCTGCCTTGGAGTCAGATGGCCATGGGTTGATCCCGCTTAAATCATGAGCCAAGTCAACCTCCGCTAAGTTGGAGGCATTGGGTATTTTGTCATAGCAAAAGGAAGCTGACTGATCCAATTTCTCTGCCCTTTAGCTGTACTCTTTCTAGAACCTCTTCCCTGAAATGCTATTGGGAAATTACTACATGTTCAAAATCTGGCATACTTGAGGGAAAATCAAAGCACTTAAACTAATAAATGAGTTTAAAATTGAAAACACTCAATTCTCAGGAATGTTTAATGTGAAGACAGAGAATGAATGCTTGAAAAACAGGATTATGGCCAATTGTTAGTCTTTTGTATTAAGGATGAGGAGTGTTTGTTTGCCTTTCTGTATTGTAAGCCTTCACACTTGCTTTCAGCAGGATGATGTGCAGTGGGTAGTATCTTCAGCATTTGTCCCATCAGTGAATGGAATATCCTCCGATTCATGCTCGAGCCAGCCTCATCCACAAACCAATCCTGATTCTCCCATAAGTTGTACATAGTAGACTCCCTTATTGAGATTTTCTTATAGCGATTTTTGATAAGCCCCTGGCAGAGAAAAGACAAACAGTTTGGTGGGCACTACGTCCTAGGCACATTCAACCCCAGCAGGCCATTTGGCTGAGGATGTGGGCCAGAAGCACCTGCTGCAGTCTGCACCAGGGACTGTCCAGAGCTCCTCAGTGCCCTTGGCAAACAGAGCTGGAGTGGATCCCCCACCATCGCTGTCCCTGACCAAGGTGCCAGAGCTCAGCAGACCCTCTGTAGTGACTGCCTCAGGCAAGGACCCTTAGACCTGTGACCTCAAATGTACAGGGCAACCTGGAATTAAAGAATGACCTTGTGTGGGTCTCCAGACAAATCACTGACCACACAAAAATCACCTTTCTTGCATGCAGCTTCAAGGGATTCAAATCATCTCAAAAGCATCAAACAGAAATTTACTCTCATTTCCACACCTTTGTGTTTCTATGGGTGGGAGAAACAGCAACCATAATCACTGGGGAAATGACTGTCAATCTAAATACAATTACATAAGCAGAGGGGCAAAGAAGGGGGAAGTAGGAGGTCTGGCAGGGCTTTCTGAGATCACTTTGCTCTAGTGAGTTTGCATTACAGTAGTGACTGTAGTTGCAATATATCTTTCTCAGCAAGCATAGCTATACAATTAATCCATAGATGTCTATTTTTTACACCGAGGGACAATTTTTACCCTCAGGATGATAAGTCAACAGCAGGAGGAAGGTGAAGAAAATGTTCAAATATATTCTCAGGCCACTGAGAGGCAATCGGACAAATGTCTACTATCTAGAATATATAAAGAACTTAAAAAAATTCAGACCTCCCAAATTTAAAGCCCCAATCCAAAAATGGGCATAGGAAATGACACACATTTCTCAGACAAAGAAGTAGAAATTGCACATAAACATGAAAAAATATTCAATATCCCTGGTCATTCAAAAAATACAAATGAAAACAACATTGAGATTCCACCTCACCCCAGAATGGCTGCTATCAAGAAATCTACCAATAACAGATGCTGGTGACATTGTGGGGAGAAGTGAACACTTTTTCATTGTTAGTGGGAGGTGAGACTGCTGCAACCTCTGTGGAAATCAATGTGAAGGTTCCTCAAATGGGTAGAATTCAAAGTCCCATGTGACCCAGCTCTTCCCCTGCTGATATCTTACCAAAAGAATTAAAATAACCATACCACAGAGATATATGATCACCCATGTTTATAGCGGCAGTTTGTAATAGCTGAAACTTGGAAACAGACCAATTGCCCATCAAAAGTAGACAGGATAAAGTTGTGTGTGTGTGTGTGTGTGTGTTTTAATAAAATGGAGTAATACTCAGCCATGAAGAATGAAAAGCTACAGATATTTATAACTAAATGGATGCACATTGAGGCCATACCCTTAAGTTAAATTAACAGGATACACATGTAAATACTAAATAGTTTCTCTGATGTGAAAAACCAAAAGTGTCAATAAGGAACAAAATATATAATGGATATTGTGTAATAGGAAGAAAATATATAAAGAAGTAGGGGAAATGGGAGGGATGGGGGAAACATAAGAAGGTGGAATTAAAAAATATGAGAAAAGGAAAAACAAACTAGAAACTGTCTTTGTGGATAGGGAAGTGTGGAGGGTGTGAAGGGAGGGCAGGGGAATGGGGAAAAATAAGAACCAAGATACTTCATGTAATGGTACAGGATCCCAATGATGAGTGTAACTGTACTGTGTACCTAAAATGTACCAATAAACTTAGTGTGGGGGGAACAGTCCCAGGGATACAGTCTTTTAGTTCCTACCACCTCCCAGCAACACTATGCTGGGATTCAATTGATGAGTGGTAGTCCCGTGACAGGTCCAGGTGAATTACTCCCCACCCCCACTTTGAGGCTGCCAGCCAAGAAAATGGGGTGCAAGGACAGTATGAGCTTCTTCTGGCCCAGAAATGGATTGGGCAGCAGGCCGGGGAAGGTGATGTCTCTGTCGTTCTAAGGTTCTTGTTTCCATGACAGCATTGTTTATCTGTTTGGGGTCATTAAAAATGTATGGAAATAATCAGATATGTTGGATCACTGCTGAAATCCCAGCTATCTGGGAGACTGAGGCAAATTCAAGGCCAGCAAGCAGGAGTCCCTGGTTTTAATCCGTAGCATCATGAAAACAAACCAATACAAAACAATAGATTCAAATAGATTCAATAGATTCAAATTTAACTCCACCAGACCTACATGGGAGAGGAAATAGCTGAGTGTGCCTGAGAGGGGAAATCACAGTCATCAGGTGATCAGATGTCCAGAGCTAGAGCTGGATGACCTTGTCTCTCTCCTTTGTCATGTAGCCCTGGAGCTGGGGCTGGGTGGGCCAGGGCTTGGGCCCAGTAGAGGCCAGGACACCTCCCTGCCCTGCCCAGGGAGGGAGCCACCTCAGCTGGGGCCTGCAGACACTGAGCACCTGAGAAACTGGGAAGTGTCCTGCAGAGGGCGCCATTGATTCACATATAATCCCTGAAAAGCTGAACCAAAGTAGTATTGTGCTACACCCAAAATGAAGGAAGGATTATGAAAAACAAGATGTGATAGAAGGTATGTCAATTCCAGGATTGAAGGAGCTGGTTCTGACAGTAGGGAAAAATAATAACGTCTCCAGGACTAGGCACCAAGTCTCCGGCAATATGGCAGGGCCCCAGCCAGTCACTGTCCTAGACTTCTGTCAGGCCCAGAAAAGCTCTTGTGTTCTTGCAGTGTGAATGGATAACTGCAAATTTTCATTTAGTTCTCACATCCACCTGATAATCCAGGTTCACGGTGAGGTAAAAGAGGCTCAGAGGGACTCAGAAACTCCCCCAAGGACTCACAACTACTAGGCAAGAGAAAGGACATTCAGATTGCTTAGCTGGGACTCTGGCACCCATTGAGTCTTCTCTCGTTTTACCACCAGGAGGAGCCCTTGCTGTTTTCTACCGGACGCCTCAGGAAACACAAAGCATTGTCTCTGAGGGGCAGAGGATATTTTAGCCAATAGATATTGTTAACTAGCCCTGAACCTGTCTGGGACACAGCCACACTCCAGAGTCACACTGACTTTTGCTACAAAGATACGATCGTAGTACCAGAGCCACAAAATCAAGATGCAGTTGAAACAGGCAAAGGTCAGCTACTGAAATGCGGAGGTGGATGCTGAGGGCACCAGGCCATTTGGCTCTCAGACTTTCCACCTGCTCCACTTTGCAAAAACCATGAGGCCTCTGGATAGATGTGGGCGGGACTTCCCTGACCAACACTCTTGTAGGACTCAGCATCCTCATTGAGTCACTGCTCACTCCTCTGTGTAGTGGAACTGATATCAGACTGTAAAAGGCCCTTGGCTGAATTTAGATTCAGTTAGGGAGGAAAATATATATTAAATAAAATTTTGCATTATGTCATTTTAAATTGTACAATTCAGTGATATTGACTACTTTCATAATACTTTGAAACTATCACCACAAGTTTCAATTATTTATTTTTTGTTTTATCTTGTTTCATTCTGTTTATTTTTCTGGTCATTTAGATTGAAACAAGTGCCTACTACATGGAGGTCTTCAAGTAGTTGTCCTCTTGCCTCAGCCTCCCTGGTCTCTGGAATTACAGGTACCCATCCAAATCCTACATTTTCCAGAAGTTTTTTATTGCCCATAGCACAACTCTGTGCCTTTGAAGTAATGATTTCCATTCCCCCTTCCAGACCACCCCTGGTATCCTTAATTTACTTTTGAGCTCTGTGATTTTGCCTCTTTTATACAGTTCCTATCATTGGAATCCATGGTGCCTGTCTTGTGAGTGGGCCTGCGTTTCTCAGTGCAGCTCAAGTGCAGCCCAGTTTCTGTACATTAGATCTTTCCTTCACACCACCAAAAAGCCAGAGGCACTGGCACCACACAATGGCTTTAAACATTCCTGCATGGAGGGGCAGGGGATGCCTGTAGTTCCATTAAGTGTGAGAAACGCTGTTGGAGATGTGCGAGTGTAGCTGTGTCTCTACTTCCCAGTCTTGGGAGCTGTATGCTGAAAGTGGCAATCCTGGGCCACATGACATTAACTCTTCAGGAACTGTTGAGGTGCTTTGTGCTGTGGCTGCACCATTTCACATGTCACCTACAAGGCAGCATTTTAAGGTTTAAAAAGTTTGAAATGAAGTTTTCTTCTGTCTGTAAAGAAAAATATAATATACCTACACAGCTATTGCAAAGTATTGGCAAAAGGAAGAGTCACAGCAGTCCATTGCCTAAAAGTAAAAAACCATTAATATTTTATCAAAAGGCCTTTCCATTTGTGTGCTAAAAACTATTTCTTTTTTATTCCCCTCATTGCGATTATTGGTATATTGTAGGTATACAGTACAGTTACATTCATCATTGGGCTTTTCTACCCATTTTCTTAGTTTCCATTGCATTGATTTCTGCTCTAATCTTTATGATTTCCCCTCTTGTATGAGCATTGGGTTTGTCCTGCCTGCTCTTCTTTTTCTAGAAGCTTGAGGGAAAGGTAAAAAGCCCCCTTCAGTGTTTCTAAGTCCAAATCTTATATCCTTGTCCAACTATGGCTCATTGAGAAAGTCATCCCCCATTTCTGGAGCTAGGATAGTTTCCTTAGTCAAAAATCTCTTTAAATACAAAGAAAATTTAGCAATAAGTACAGAGATACTGGTATAAATTGAACTTGTTATCCAAAAATATTTGTGTAGTTTCAGTTAGCTTTTCACTGCTGTGACAAAATACCTAAGAAAATCAACTTATAAGGGGCCAAGTTTAAATTTAGCTTATAGTCACTCCTTTGTCACTTGGCTCTGTTGCTTAGACCTGTGACAGCTTCTCATGGCAGGAGTGCATGGGTGAGGAAGCCTATTCCTACTGGCCAGGAAGCAAAGATAGAGACAGGAAGGGTGAGGGTTCCAAAGTCCCCTCCAAGGGCACACACTCAATGCCCTCAATTACTTCCACCTCTTAAAGCTTCCACCACCTCCTGGAGTGGCACAGGCTGCTGACCAAACTTTTGACACATAGACCTTTGGGGCACACTTCTAAACAATAGCAGAATCATCCAGAGGTATTGATAGCAGTTAAAATATTTCAGAAAATTTAGCATGTTGGAAATTTGACAGAGTGAACTTGTGATTCATACTTAAAATGTATAGGTAAGTACTTGACAGGTGCTGTTAGGTTGAAAGGTATTGGAACATTTGCACAAATATGTATTATAAATTGTACTGTGGTGGTTAAGATAATTTTTATTGAACCATATTTATGCATTTGTTATTTTTAGAAAAGTTTCCTTAAGTCCCTAGGTTGGCTTTGTCAGACAAATGATAGAAATATTACATATTAGAATTATAACTGCAATTTTAAATATTGCAGAAAACATAACTAAGTTTTCCAATGGCACTAAATATTAACCTGAAGCATAAAAGTAACTATACATTTTTGCATGAAACATATTTGTATACTTATAGATTATACTATAGCAGTGAAATTTTTGAGTTGCATTTATAAACCTATGGTATTACAATTTATAACATTAATTTTTAAATCTTCAAACTTTAAATGTTCACTTTGAAAATGTGGATCCCTGTAAATTGTGATTTCTGTATACAAAAGCTGTTCTTATAAGCAAAAACTAAAACCACCAAAAAATAGCACAATGACATTAATACTGATACAAGTTTTTCTATGATTTTGGGACTTCGGGAAATATTTCTTCATGGTCAATGCAGAATGCAGTCTGTGTCTACGCAAAGGAAAAAGGGCCCTTGCTATGGCTATCGCAGCTTTCTAAAAGAGGGACAAGTGACCTGGGATCCCCTACTGTCAGCCATGAAAACTCTTCATCCTTCACCAGAGACTAATCCCATGCTTTTAGATTTGATACCAACCAAACCCATGAGCCAGATAAATACAGTCTTTTACAAGGGCCAAAAGCAGAGAAGAAAAATTTGAAAAACTTACTGTGTGGCCAGGAAGGAACCACATTAGGAGGTGTGGACAAAGGAAGTGTGGTGGCTGAAGAGATGACCACAATTAAACTCTTAGCTGTGAGCCCCTTAAAAAAAACAAATGAAAGCTAAACACTTCCAGCATTCAGTGACACAAGATAGGTATTTTGATTCCAAAAGTTATAAATAGGGGGTGGCCAGGAATGGGAACAAAGGAAGACCAAAATCCAGTAGGACAAACATTAAATTCCCCAGTTCCATTACTAGCACCCCTGGAAATCTGTGGCAAGTGGTGAACTCCAAAGAGGTTGGGTGGCTCCACTGCTATGGCACCACCAAGGATTGTAGCTCCCATGGCCCCTCTCCTGGGCTGGGTCTGATACGATCGTGCAGTGCTTTTGACCAGCACTGCAATGGGTATAGGTTAAAAAAAATACCTGTTTAAGTTCCTTCTTTCAGTATATGCAGATAGATAGATAGATAGATAGATAGATAGATAGATAGATAGATAGATACATACATAGAGACATACATATACATATGCATAAATATATATGTAACTAGTGTATCTAGAAATGAAATTGCTGGATCATAGAGAACTCTTAATTGTAGGGAAAATGCTGATATATTTCAGTGTTTTTATATTTACAGAAAATATGATATTTAAATGAATATGTCACTAAAGTGTGTATTGTCACAATACTTTGTACAGATATAAATTCAAAGAGCCATTTTCTAGTTAAAGGGAGACCTTTGAGGTTTAAAATTATTTACACTTCAGACTAAAAGATTTATCTAGATAGTTTCCCAAGACCTAAATGTCTTTATGATCCACGTTCTCATTTTTCTTTTCCCTTAATGCTTCCTGTGGTTTTTCTTTCTTTTGGTAGCACTTTCTCATTAGACTCTAAAATGGAGCCGACTTTTCTAAACTGTGTATTTTGCTCTGTGGGTGAGGAATCCAGAGTCTGTGCACTGCTGTGGTATCCTATTGCTGCTGCAGTTGGATTCTGCAGCAGCTACTCTGGTTTGCTGAAACTGCTGCCTCTTCTGACGGCAAGTTTACCTTCCCCAGTGCGGACATAGTCACATCATTAAATAGTCAAGTGGGAAATGACTGTTAGTAAATCTTAGGATTATATCTTTTCCAAGTATCCTCCTATAGTAGGAACTATTAACTTGTGCATACAGGGATCTCTCTCAATAGATGTGGGCTTCCTGGGATTATAGAGAAATGTAGAAAAACATTCTCAATGAGGCCTAAGCAGAATTAGAAATACTAAGTTCTCTGGTTACCTGCCTTCTACTGGAAACAGAACGGCTGAGCTCAGAGTACAAAGAACAGAGGATTTCTTGGGGTCCACTGTCTCCAGTTCCCTTTCTGACCAGTTGTGACACCTTTGAAAAGTTTCCAGTCACTGTTACAGCTCATATCAATTATAAACAGCAAGTGTGTTATCAGCAGAGATGGGAGGAACAAGTGTGTTAATGTGCCTCACCCTCTGTTCTGGTCCGCTTCTCTTCTGGACTCTCACTTAGTAGTTTGTTTTCTTGTGGTCTTGGGGGCTCTTGACACCTTTTTGCATTTGCCATAGTCCTATGTGGTTTCCAGGTCCCAACATGGATCTGGATGCTTTGGATCAGTTGGAAGGTTGGTATCACACAGAATCTTGTGCCACTTCCTTAACACCCATCAAATAGTAAGATTACATAAATGTTAAGCACCCAACTTTGCCAGGTTATACCCAAGCTTTGTTAGGAATAAAAAGCACAGTAGAGTAAATAAGCCCCCTTTCTTTCATCATATCCACCTGAATTGAAGGCAGGAAAAATGTGAGGAGCTCTTAGTCACAGTGTGAGACTGCCAGGCCCCTGGACTTGAAGCACTGGACATTTGAGGTACAGTTTGCTACTAAGAGTGAAACATTTAGTACCTGTTAGATGCATTGTGAAAACCACCTGATGTTGTCCTCCTTCCAGTGCAACTTGGAGCTGAAGATAAGCACAAAGTGAGTTCACTCTCATCCCAGGCAACATCAAGCAGACTGTTTAGGAAGAATTATTCATACAGAGTGCTCATGCTCTCCACAGCATGCATACAGCCATATGAAAAGATATGGTTATCAAATCAGTGAGAAAACCTCACTTTGGACAAAACCCTGTAAAACAATCCACAGAGCATAGCCATGCATTGATACCACCAGCAATGCATCATGCAAAAGTCTGCCAATTGGACAATGGATTGCCAAGCTCTAAACCTGCATTTCCACTACCTGACTCAAGCAAAATGCCTAGCATGGTTTAGCAGCACACAGAGCCCTCACTCATATCATTCTGTATGAAGCACAACCTGCTCCACCCACCCAGCAGAACGATGAGCAGCAGATCACCCAGGGTTGCCTCCAACATACCATTTAGGTTCCATTTTTCCTGCAGTGTGCTCAAACTAACCCTAAGCTGATGCCAACCATTTGAAAAGGAATGGTTCATGAGTCAGTCAGCCTGCCGTCCATTCAGACTACAACCTGTGGAGAAATGAGCAGGGCCCTAGCCACGCAGTCAGCCCAAGTTGCCAAAGATATCCAAGATCACACAAATATACAATGGAAAGCCATGCAATGAGCCTTCATTCCCACTGTTTTCACTCCCACAGACCACTGAGGACCTGTTAATGGCACTGAGACCACTCACTCCTATTGCACTGCATTCACCTGACCTTTACTGAATCTTTAGGCACATGCTGAAACTGCCCTGCCTAGCTTGACTACAGCGGACTGCTTATGGAGTGGTTGGCAATGCAGTCCACATGTCAACACTCTTAGAGCTATGTAGCAGTTCTCTGAGGACTGGTCAGCCAACACTGCTCTTGCCCTCGGCCTGCGAGTCACCGTGTGGATGCTTTAAGAATTTCTAGAAATGGAAAAATCCTTGCCTCATGGAAAAGTGATAGAGGTCTGGCAAGTAGTGCTAAGCACGCAACAAGTCTGCCCTCAGTGCAGCTTATAGGCAGGGCTCCCTTGAAGACTGTTTGGCCACACAGTGAGCACACCCCTGTCCCTGCCGGCACCTAGTGAATAAAGGATCAGGGCATAGAAACTGAATAAGAAGTCCCTTCCCCTAGACATCAAAGTGCAGAAGGTTTGAGCAGCCAATAAACACATAGTGAGCGGGCATTAAATCTTAGCTGCCTCCCACAGAATGGCTAGGCCCTCTTAACAGCTGGGAGAGTCGTCACTCATACCTTTCTGAATGTAACAATTTTTGGGTACAGTTTAGCTGCACAGTGAGTCAACCCTCACTGCTTTCTCATCCAGGGATATGGTTATGGAATATTTTGCAATGCAGTGAGACTGTCCACAAGCCGGTGAAAAAGCAGCAGGCTAGAGAAGGACAGTCAGACACACAGTGAGCTCACACAGACATGACACTCATACAATGGAACATTTAAGCAGTAAACATGCACTCAAACAAGCAATCGTACAGAGGTCTGGGGAGGCATTGTCCAATGTGGAGTGAACCTGAACTTGCCACAGCCATCAGCCAGGGCCACTATGTTAATTGGTGAGCCATGCTTTGAGCCTGCCCTCATCCCTGAATCAAACAGGTGAAACATTGCATTCTACCTAGAATTGCAGACATGTCACAGTCGTAACAAATTGAAGGAAGGAGAAACTTGAGGAGCTCTTAGTCACAGTGAGACTGCCAGGCCCCTGGACTTGAAGCACTGGACAGTTGAGGTACAGTTTGCAACTAAGAGACCTGCACTCATACGGCTGCCATGCAGTGAAACATTTAGTACCTGTTAGATGCATTGTGAGAACCCCCTGGCATCATCCTCCTTCCAGTGCAACTTGGAGCTGCAGATAAACACGAAGTGAGTTCACGCTCATCCCAGGCTACATCCAGCAGGCTGTTTCAGAACAATTCTTCATGCAGAGTGCTCATGCACTCCACAGCATGTGTACAGCCATCTGAAAAGGAATGCTTATCGAGTCAGTGAGAAAACCACACGGGCCAGAAACCTGTTGAAAAATCAGCAGGGCATAGGCATGCATTGATACCAACCCAGACCCAGCCTGCCACAGACCCTCATTGAGCAATGGATTGCCACGCTGTAAGCTTGCATTCCCACTACCTGCCTCCTGCAAAATGCCTAGTATGGTTTAGCAGCACAGAGAGCCCTCACTCATATCATTCCGCATGAAGCACAATATGCTCCATCCAGGAAGCAGAATGATGAGCAGCAGATCATCCAGGGAGGCCTCCAGGAGACCATTTAGGCTCAATTGGTCCCGCAGTGTGCTCAAACTAACCCCAGTCTGATGCCAACGATCTGAAAAGGAAGGGTTCATGAGTCCATCAGCCTGCCGTCACTTCAGACTAGAACTTGTGGAGAAATGAGCAGGGTCTAGCCAAGCAGTCAGCCCGTGTTGCCAAAGATAGCATCCCTACTGTTTTGACTCCCATGCTTGCTTGCTTGCTTGCTTGCTTGCTTGCTTGCTTGCTTGCTTGCTTGCTTGCTTGCTTGCTTGCTTGCTTGCTTACAGAACCTCTCCCTTTTATATTCTCCAGCTGCATGGGAGCGAGGGCTGCACAGGGGTGAGAGTACCACCCACACATTCCAGAGGGAAACAACAACAACCATTATGGGTTACATCTGCTACCAGCTGAACTCACCCGTGGCTATTTATGGGCGAGAGCACATCCTTGCCAGCGAGGTGACTCAAAGTTCAATCATGGCTAGGCCTGTGTCAAGGCTCACCATAATGGCTCGCCATAATAAGGAAAGAGAATAATATATGAAATGGAAAAAAAAAAGAAATTAAGGAAAAGAGTAGCAAACTTGTAATAAATGTTGCAGAGGATATGGAGAAATAGGAAAACTCATATATTACTGGTGGAAAATGGTAGATGGTATGTCCACTCTAGGAAACATTATGGCAGTTCTTGAATCTTTTAAGTAAATTATTCTTCTAGGAAAATATAAAATTTAAAATGGATTCTCAAAGATGGAAGTGATAATTAGACAAATTTGATTATTACACATTGCATACGTGTATTTTATTAAGTATTATTGCGGATCAATACTTTAAAAAAGAAAATAGGATCTGAAAACAATTTTCTCAACTACCTACATGACAACACAATTCACAGTACCTAAAGTAAGAAAAGCACACACAAAAATTTACTGAGGAGTGGATAGTAAAAATGTGGATAGAAAGCAATATTATTTAGCCTTTTAAAAAGAAGGCAATTCTGATAAATGTTACAACCTGGATACATCTTGATGATATAAGACAAAGTCACAAAAACATGGCCCTACATTCCCTTTGCATGAGGTACTGACAGTCATCAGATTCATCGGTACAGAAAGTGAAATGGTGGGCATCATGGACAGGAGGAGGTGATGGGGTGTTGTTTAATGGAGATTCCCTCAAAAACTTAAAAGATAAAACTTGATCACATAATTACAATGACTTTTCCCATGAAAGTGAGAGAAGCCATACTCCAATAAAAATTTTCATTTTTATTCTTAGTCACAAAAATTTAAAAACACCAATACAGTGTGATCAGATGATATCCTGGAAGAACTGGATGACAAGTACAGAAGCAAACTCCCTGCTTCTTAATTCAGATAAGATTTAAATAATAAGTTTATGAGTAATTTTACCTTCACATTTCTCTCTTTCAGTCTTTATAGAAACAAAACTATTGGATAAAGTGGATAGCAGTTTGTTGGTTGTTAGGGCACTGGTAATTGTGGGCAGTCAGAAAACACTGCCTGGGTTTGTAATAACTTTAAAAGTGAATAAATATTTTCAAAAGATCATAAGCCACACAAACCAAAAAGTGAATGACTAAATTAGACAAAATGCTCAATAAATCCAACTTTCTTCTAGAAATACATTTCAGACAAAACTAGGAAGTTAAAACTCTCTCATTTAAACTTCTGTAATAACACA